CATCTGCCCCCTGGTGGTCAGTGTGTGTCATAGTGACCAGTCATTCCTAGTCGTTCTGCTGTTAGGGTCAATTTGCACATTACCACCCTAATGGGTTTGGCTCAGTGGATAGAGCATCGGCCTGCGGACTGAAGGGTCCCAGGTTCGATTCTCGTCAAGGGCATGTACTCTGGTTGCGTACACATCCCCAGTAGGGGGTGTGCAGGAGGCAGCTGATCGAAGTTTCGCTCTTATCGATGTTTCTAACTCTCTATCCCTCTCCTTCCTCTCTGTAAAAAATCAATAAAATATATTTGGAAAAAAAAATTTCATGTGCACATTACCCTTTTATTATATAGGATAGAAGCCTGGTGCACGGGTGGGAGCCAGCTGGTTTGCCCTGAAGGGTGTCCCGGATCAGGGTGGGCAGGGGACCCCCAGCGCCCTACGATCGCCCACGCCATCCCTGCTCACGATCACTGGCTCTGCCCATGCTCAGGCCTAACACCTCTGGCCAAGGCATTAGGCCTGGGCAAGGGACCCCCAGCACCCCACCATCGCCAACTTGGCCCCTGCTCCCTGCGATTGACGGCTCTGCCCTAATGCCTCTCACCCAGGCATTAGGCCTGGGCAGGGGACCCACAGCTCTCCAAGGGACCTCCTGCTCCACCCCTTCCCAGGCCTAACGCCTGTGGCCAAGGCATTAGGCCTGGGCAGAGGACCCCAAGCTCCCACCATCAGAGACTCTGCCCCAGCCCCCCATGATCGCTGGCACTGCTCCTGCCCAGGCCTAATGCCTCTGGCCGAGGCGTTAGGCCTGGGCAGGGGACCCCCCCAGCTGCAGCCGCCCCCCGATCGTGGGCTCCGCCCCTGCCCGGGCCTAACGCCTCTGTGCGAGGCGTTAGGCCCGTACAGCGGGGACCCCCAGCTGCAGCCGCCCCTGATCGCTCCGCCCCTGCCCAGCTCCCATTGCTGGCTCCACCCCTACTTCCCGCTATCACTGGCCAGTGCGGCAAAGGCGCAGGATTCTCCGATCATGGCTGGGAGGCAGGGCAATGGCAGCCCTGGGGGCAGCCATTGCCCTGCCCTCCGGCTCTTAGCTCCCCCCTGTGTTTCCGATCACTGTCAGTGCCAGGGGGCTTCTTCCGTGCTTTCCCTTTTGCTCCCTGCATTGTGCCTACATATGCAAATTAACCGCCATCTTTGTTGGCAGTTAACCGCCATCTTGGCTGACAGTTAATTTGCATATACTCACTGATTAGCCAATGAAAAGGGTAGCGGTCGTACGCTAATTACCATGTTCTCTTTTATTAGTGTAGATTCCCATGTTCATTGCAGAATTATTCACAATAGCCAAGATATGGAAACAATGTAACTATCTGCTGACAGATGAATGGGTACAGAAAATGTGGTATATGCATATGAGAGAACTTAAAAAAAAGGAAAGCCCTTGCAGGTGTGGCTCAGTGATTGAACCAGGAGGTCAGGGCATATGCCCTGGTTGCAGACTCAATCCCCAGTAGGGGGCGCACAGGAGGCAGCTGATCAATGATTCTCATCATTGATATTCCTCTCTCTTCCTCTCTGAAATCAATTAAATATATTTATGAAGGAAATCCTGCCCTTTGTGATATAGAGGACATTATGCTAAGTAAAATAAACCAGTAATAGAAGAGCAAATACTGCATGATTCCACTTATATGAGGCATTAAAATAGTTAAACTCACAGAATCAGAGAATAGAATGGTGGTTTCCAGGGGTTGAAAAGAGAAGAAATGGGGAAGTGTTGTTCAATAAATATAAGTTATAGTTATACAAAATATGTGCACTTGAAATTTTGTTGAAAAGGTAGCTCTCATGTTAATTTTTCTTACCTTCCCCCACACCCTTCAAATAAATAACAAAGGGACACAAGAAATCTTTTGCAGGTGATGGATATTTTTATTACCTTGTGAAGACAGTATCAAAGGTGTATGCATGTGTCAAACTCAGCAAAATGTATAGATTAAATATGTGCATTTTTTGTGTATTACATATACCTCAATAAAGCTGAAAAAAATAAAACAGTGGTTAGAAAAAGGCAGTTAAGATGCTAACATTGATTTGATTCAGTAAGTTTCATTTAATCTTCACAACAAGCTTATGAGTAAGGGATTGTTACATATTAAAATAAGTTAAGGAAGGCAAATGTGGAGAAAGGCACTAAATTAAGCAGCCACAAACGGGTTAGACGGTTTGCTGCTCAGGAAACATATTTTTATTACCATATGAATCAGGGATGATGACATAGATGGCCAGATAATTCATAGAGAGACAGATAGACGGACAGACAGACAGACTACATGTATAAAAACAGAGTTGGCGACTGGGCTTTCTATAACCTTGGTAGTTTTTGTCAGGGCTCAGAAGACAATGTGTTTGTTGTCATCAGAGCTTGAAATGAGAGTCAAGTAATCTTTGGTTTGTTTGTCTTGCTCAAGTTTTAAAAACTGTGAAAGAAAAAAGGAATTTGTGGGAAGGATAGGGAACATATACTTGAAAGAATGTGATATTTATCACATTACATAATTATAGTACAATATTATTGCCTATATTGATTATACTGTGGATTAGCTCTTTATGGCTTATTTACTACTCGTTACAAATTTGCACCCTTGAACACATTAATTTTATCTCTCTCATCCCCTGGCAACCACCATTTTACTCTTTTTGTTTTTTTTTCAGATTTTCTATATTCCATACTAGAGGCCCAGTGCACGAATTCATGCACCAGTGGAGTCCCTGGGCCTGGCCTGTGGAATCAGGCTGAAACCAGTTCTCCGACATCTCCCAAGGGGTCCCAGATTTCGAGAGGGCACAGGCCAGGCCGAAGGACCCCACTGGTGCACGATTGGAGCCTGGGAGGGACGCAGGTGGTTGGCCAGCCAGGGAGGGACTGCGGGAGGGCTCCAGGGCGTGTCCGGCCTGTCTCATTCAGTCCCCATCAGCCAGACCCCAGCAAGCTAACCTACCGGTTGAAGCGTCTACCCCCTGGTAGTCAGTGCACGTCATAGCAAGCAGTTTAGCAGCCTTAGCATATCACTAGCATATTACGCTTTGATTGGTTGAACAGCCGATCAGACGACTGGACACTTAGCATATTAGGCTTTTATTATCCTATATAATAAAACCTTAATATGCAAATCGACCAAACGATGGAACGACCAGTCACTATGTAATGCACTGACCACCGGAGGCAGATGCTCAACGCAGGAGCTGCCCCCTGGTGGTCAGTACACTACCACAGAGTGAGTGCTGGTCAGCCAGAAGCTGGGCTCATGGCTGGAGAACACAGCGGAAATGGCTGGAGCCTCTCCTACCTCTGCTGCAGGCAGGCGGTAAGGAGCGAGTGGTCCGGGACTGTTGAGAGGGATGTCTGACTGCCAGCAGGAGGATATCCCCTGAGGGGTCCCAGACTGAGAGAGGGCGCAGGCCGGGCTGAGGGAACCCCCCAGCCCAGTGCATGAAATTTCATGCACCGGGCCTCTAGTATAGGATAGAAGTGATATCATACAGTTCTGTCTTTCCCTGTCCGACTTATCTCGCTTAGCATAATGTGCTTAAGGTCCATCCATGTTGTCACAAATGGAAGGAAATTCTCCTTTCTCAAGGCTGAATAATATTCCATTGTGTATATACCACATCTTTTAAAAAAATCTATTCATCCAGTGATGAGGATTTGGGTAGTTTCTACATCTTGGTTATTGTGAATAATGCTGTGATATACATGGGAGTGCATATATCTCATCAAAATCCTGTTTTCATTTTCTTGGGTATACACCCAGAAGTGGAATTGCTGAATTATGATAGATCTATTTTTACTTCTTTGAGTAACCTCCATATTGTTTTCTACCCTTTTACTTTTGACCATAGGGAAGAATATTAGCAGAAAAATACATTGGATAATACAAAAGTTATTAAAATGAATTTGAGATTACTAACAGTTGAGAAATTTTTCCCATATAATTTACGCACATTTTAATCTAGGAATACCAAAATGGGAATCTGTTTAGGGTCTCATTCCCATACTTGTCTAAAACTGCCTTTCTGACTTTTTTCTTGATTGCTGGAGGCACAAATTCTTGGTTGCTCCTCTCTCTTCTGAGGAGCTCCTTCCATCAGCCTTCCTATCCCATCTCTACAAGTAAACTACAGAGAAAGTCCCTCGAGTTCTGTGGTTCTCAAATTTTAGAAGCACCAGAACCACCTAGAGAGCTTATTCAAGCAGATTTTTTTTTTTTTTTTTTTTTTTTTTTTTGCTGGCTCAATAGGTAGAATGTCAGCCCATCTGCTGAAGGGTTTCAGGTTGGATTCCCAGTCAAGGGCAGGTATCTGGGTTGCAGGTTCAATCCCCTAGCCCCGGTCTGGAGCATGTGGGAGCCAACTGATCCAGGTGTCTCTCTCACATCAATGTTTCTCTCTTCCCCTTCCTTCCTCTCTATCTAAAATCAATGGAAAAAACTCCTCCGGTGAGGATTGCTAGTAACAACAGCAAACTAAAAAACACAACACATTGTTGAGTCTCAAACCCACAGTTTCTGATTTAGTAAGTCTGAAGAGAGGCTTCAGAATTTGAGCCCAGGTAATGCTGACGTTGCTGGTCTGGGGACCATACCTGGAGAACTGCTTTATTCCTTTCAAGCTGCTTTCCAAGGCAGGTTTACAAGCGGTTATACAGGATTCTTGTTAATGGTTACAAGGCGACATTAAAGGGATTACATTGTTACTAGATGGTCAAAGAAAGGCCACCCACACTTTCATTCTCTCCAGGGCAAGGCTGGTCCCCACCCCCCACACGCAACCCAGGGAGAACCCCAGTTTCCCCTACTGTATATTGCAAGGATTTAATAAAATTAAGCTCCTAAGGGACAGGTCTCTAAATGGTGGCTACTTTAGTTTCCTCTCACATCGCTAGTCATCCAACCACTCAGATCAGATGCAGTCACATCCTGCCGGCTCATTAAGGGGTGGGCTGAAGAGATACAGGCAATGGCGCCACTCAGGACCCAAGGAGGTCCCAGGTGCGGTCCCCACGGGCACCTCGCTGGCCAGGTGCAAGGCTCGGGAGCAGAGGGTGGAGTTAGCGCCGTGCGGGAGCGTATGCTTCCGGCCACGTGATCACGCTCCGCGCCAATGGGAGGGCTGGACGAGCCCCGCTTCCTCACCGTGGCAACGGGCTGGTGACTACTTCCGGTGCTGTGAGGGCTCGGGGCTGATGCGGGTGAGTGTCCTTCTTGTCACGCTGTCCGCGCGGCCGCCGCTGCCGCGCCGTTTCCTCGCCCCCGGCCCGTGCGCTCGCCGGGACCCTCCTCTCCAGGGCCGGGAGGGGGCGGTGCGCAGGATGCCCCTGGCCTGGGCGGGGGTGACGGAGCGGACCCGGGACGCTCCTCGTTCCCGCGGTCGCGCGTGGGGCCCGCGCCGGCCCCCCCTTCCCAGCCGTGGCTCCAGCGTGGCGGCCGCATTCCCTCGCCGGGGAAGGGCGTGTGTGTGTGTGTGGGGAGTCCTCGCTGTCCTCCGCCCACTCGGCAGTCTTCGGCTGTGGGTTTCTCCAAGTCTGAGGCTCGCGGGAGACCCGGGGGTGCGCGCTGTCGCCCCGCGTGTAATCGAGGCCCGGTGGGGTCCGCAGGACGTTAGCGGTTCCTGCTCAGTCGGAGGAAGAGGACCGAGAAGAAGGAGGAGCGGCTTTTGGAGAGGAGGGTGGAGAGCTGGAGCTGGAGGTGCCCTGGAAGGAGAGGGCATCGTGTTTCCCGAAGGAGGGAGTGCAACTGGACTGGCCTCTGTAGGGGAGGGAATGAAAGGTATTTTGGGGACCATGTGACCGAAATCCTTCAATAGTCAGCTAAGGAATTTTTATACGCCCAAGAGTTCAAGAGTTTAATAATTTCCTTTTTTTTTTTTTGCTGGTTTTAAATAAAGCTTTTCCCCTCCACTTCTAAGGAACGGTGCATGGCTATTAAAGAAAATCTGGGAGATGCAGAACTATTTTAAGAGATCACCTATAGTTCCACCAACCCAGCTTTTTAAAAAAAAATCATTCTTTGTAATTTCCATAGCATATTCTTAATCTACTTATGATCATAGTGTATGCATATAAAATAGGATTGCTGTTGGCCCTATCTATCCACGGATCCATGCAGATTCAACCAACCACAGATCGAAAATATTTGGGGGCGGAAAAAAAAGCTATATTGTAAAGGATTTAGCATCCTTGGATTTTGGTATCCAGGGTGCAGTTAATCTCCTAGATTGATTCCTAGGAAGGACTTTGTAACTAGGAAGCCTAATTTTTGTACATTGCATCCATGATATGGATAGATGTGTTTTTTTCTGAGATACAATTCACATACCATAACATCCATTCTTTTAAATTGTAAATTTGATTTTTCAAGCACTCATCACCACTATCTAATTCCAGAATATTTGTATTGCCTCCAAAAGAAACTTTGTACCTATTATAGACACTCCTCTTGCTTCTTCAGTCCCTTGCATCCATTAGTCTACTTTTTGTGTCTGTGGATTTTTCTATTCTGGATATTTCATGTAAATGGAACCATATACTATGTGTCCTTTTGTGTCTGGCTTCTTTCACTTAGCTTAATGTTTTCAAGGTTAATCCATATGCTATGCATTATTACTACATTCCTTTTTATGGCCGAATAATATTCCATATATGAATATGCTGCATTTTGTTGATGGACATATGGGCTGTTTCCACTTTTTGACTATTATGAATACTTTTGCTTTATAAACATCCATGCACAAGCTTTTGTGTGGACGAATGTTTTCAGTTCTCTTGGGTGTATACCTAGAAACAATTTCTGGGTCATACAGTAATTCTTTTTGAGGAACTGCCATGTTTTCCAAAGTGGCCTGCACCAGCAGGATATGAGGGTTCAGATTTCTCTATATCATTGTTAATATTTACCTGTCTTTTTGATTGCTGCCATTGGTTGTGAAATGATATGTCATTGTGGTTTTGATTTGCATTTTCTGGATGGCTGAAAATGTTGAGCATCTTTTCCCTTCTTGGCCTTTTGCAAATCTTTGGAGAAATGTCAGTTTAATTACTTTGCCCTTTTTAAAATGAAATTTTTAAAAACTTATTTTAAAGTTTTATGAGTTCTTTACATAGTCCAGGTAAGTCCCTTATCACATACACAATTTGTAATATTCCCCCCCCCCCCCATTTTCTCCATTTTTTGGAGTTTCTTTTCACTTTCTTGAATGGTGTTCTTGAAGTACAAAAGTTTAAAATTTTGGTGAAGTTCACTTTATAGTTTTTTGGTTGCTTGTGCTTTTAGTGTCATATCTGAAACCATTGCCAAATTTAAGGTCATGAAGACTTACCTCTTTTTTCACCTAAGAGTTTTATAGTTTTACCTCTTGCATTTAGGTCTTGATATATGTAGAGTTAAGGTCTATATATGGTGTGAGGTAGGCATGCAAATTCATCCTTTTGCATGTAGCTATACAATTGTCCCAGCACTATTTATTGGATACTCTGTCCTTTCCCCATTGAATGGCCCTGGCACCCTTGTCAAAAACCAACTGACCATAATATATAGGTTATTCTTATTTTAGGCATTTCTCTATGCTGGGCATTTCTCTCTCTCTCTCTCTCTCTCTTTTAATTATCCTGTGTTAAACACAACATTAAAGGCATAAAACATTTTCTGTATTTGAAGTTATTTTGGTAGAAAGTGTTCTCAGAAGTGGAATTACTGTGTCAAAGATGAAATAAGTAGGCTTTGGAGCTTACTTAATGGGGCATTAAACCTTCAGTGTCATCATGATGGTAAGAGCAACAAAACGTTTCTTTATTCAGCTATAGCTTCAGGGCTGGATTTCTGTAAAAGCTTTTTTCTGTAAGATGGATTTCACAGTTTCCTCTTTCAACTGCTTCTAAAAGTCACTAAGTAAATCTAGAGCAAAAACTTCAACATGAGGGGCAAACAGAACATGTGGTAGTTTTCTAAATGGGTTAAAGGGAAAAAAACAGTGTCATCACATGCAGTAGGAAAATAAAACAATCTTTGAGAGAAATGGGGTCAAAATTTAGACCTTAAATCAATGCCATGAATGTCCCTGGAGCAAAAACAATGTTTTATTCTGAGTTTCTCTCCTGGCCTTGATAATCAGGTTAATTACATTCATTGTGGTCTCAGAGATGGCTAATTACATATTCTCTTTGTAGTAGAGTACCTAGTTAAAAAAACGTTCAAATACAAAAGGTTATTAGGAAAAAAATCAAGTTTCCCTTTTATCCTTTCCCCTCAACCTCCCTGTTCTCCTTAGAGGTATCCATGGTACTGTTACTTGTGCATGTTTAGTTTAAGCATAGAGTATCTCTGGAAAGATAGCATATACAAATCATACATTTTAAGGTTCTTGATACTGACAAATGCTTTTTAAAAATGGTTACATCAGTTTATGGTGGCAGTTACAGTGCTAGTTAGAAATACTTCATTTTTGTTTGTCTTTCTTTGACCATTCTTTCCTTAATATTGGGATCCAGTTTATATTTCCTCTTTTATGTATTGTCTGCTCATGTCTTTTGGCATGCTATTTGTTTTTATTGGAACTGTTCTTTATGAGATTTATTTTGGCAGCTTTTTGTGGATGGATGTTTTATGATAGCCTGGACTTGAGAAAAGTTAAAATGCTTTTTGTAATATTTATGCTAAGAGGTCTGTGAGCTGAACAAGGGGTCAAGGCAGTAAGGAAAGTTAAATGCTTGAGGGAGAAATCAGTAGGATTTGGAACCTGGGTGCAGTTGAAGATGACTTCAAGTTGCGTTAGGAAAGGATGGTGCTATTAAGAAAAATAAGGAGTAATGTGGAAAGACCTAGATTTCTGGGGAGAGATGAATTTTTTTAGGGCAGGCTAAGAGTGAGGATGATCCAGGTTGAACTATCCAGACTTGTGGCTAGAGCTCAAGAGACAGAAGATAAAGAGTTAGGAATCATCTGGTTTACTAAGAGAATAGTTTGAAAGGTTGGTGGTGGATAAAATTGCTGAAGGAGACATTTGAGAATAGGCCCATCTGCCAGTCATGTGAGAGGACAAAGTTGGGAGGCATCAGGGGGCCTTGAAGAGCTAGCTAGCACAGTAGATGGGTGTGCTTGCCAAGAAGAGCAGGGTATCTAGAGAATCAGAGGTTACAAGCAGAGGGTTAAAAAAAAAGGCTATGAGGTTTGGTATTTTGGAAAATATACATCTTATGGATAAGGAAATAATTTATGGGAAGCAAGAAGTTTTTCTTTGTTCCCAAACAGCTTTATTAAGATAGGATTTATTTATCATATAATTTACCCACTTAGAGTGTATAATTCAGTGGTATTTAGAATATTTAGAACTGTGCAGCCACTGCCACAATCAATTTTGGAACACTTTATTGCCCCCAAGGGAAACCGTGCCCCTGTTAGCAGTCCTTCCCTAATCCACTCCATCCTTCCAGTTCCAGGCAACCACTAATCTACTTACTGTCTCTTTATATTTGCCTATGGTAGACATTTCATGTAAATGAAAACATACAACATGTGGCCTTTTGTGTCTGATTTTTTAAATTGTTTTCAAAGTTCATAATGCCATAGTATGTATCAACACTTCATTCCTTTTAATGGCTGAATAATGTTCCATTGTATGAATATATCATTTTTAATTATCATCAGTTCGTGGACATTTGAGTTGTTTTCACTTTTTGCTTTTTATGAACAGTTCAGCTCTAAACATCCATGTACAAGATTTTATGTGGATATGTTTTCAGTTCTCTTGGGTCTATACCTAGGAGTAGAATTGCTGGGTCATACGCTAACTTTATGTTTAACTTTTCAAGCAACTGTTGCAGAGGATGGGCAAGTTACCAGTGTTTTTTAGAAATAATAAAACTAATTTTAATATCATTAGTAGGAAGTTGCAAAATGTCTATATTCAGACATATTCAGAAATAAAGGCATGATAAAATGGGTCTATAAAATTGTTTGTCTTTTTGTCCTATGAAACTGTAACATGTTTATGCATCTCCTTACAGTGGAAACCTTTTGTGATGGCTTGTTACCTAAAAAGTTTGCGGAATTGTTTGATAGTTTTCTTGTGACTATATTGATGTATGCTTCATCAGTTTTAAATAGTGATTTGTTAATAATGACTACAAATATGATAAAAACATCACAGGGATATTTGATGTTAATATATGGTCATGATTTAATATTTACTCTTTAGTCTTAACTGTAGAGACCAAATACTGTGATTTATTTTTAATTTGAATTACCTATAACACTGTAGTTTGTACGGGCCCCAAAAGTTCAAGATCCAGAGAAACAAAACCAAAAAAGACCTATTGGGCCAGTAGTATTGTTGGTTGGCCATGTTTTTATCCTTTTGTTCCCTATGTAGGAAAAATGTTGAGGAGTTTTCCCTCTTACTGCAGTTTTTAGTGGTATCTCATAGGCTCATCCTATTTTTGAACTTGGACTTAGTTACCTTGTGTTCCTATAAATAAAAAAAAAAATTTCTTTAATATATTCAGATTGTTTAAAATTGAAAGGTACAAAATGATGAACAGTAGCATTTTTGTATTACCTCTGTCGATCAGTCATCGAAATCTACTGGTAAATACTATTATACTATTTTTTGGTATATTCTTTCAGATTTATACTTTGTGTGTGTGTGTGTGTGTGTGTGTGTGTGTGTGTATTATATATATATATATATATATATATATATATATATATATCCATATTATTTTTTCTCCCCTTCCTCAGAGTATGGTACGGCATATAATTCTGTACTAGGTTTT